AGAGAGACAGAGAGAGAAAGAGAGATTAAGAAAAAGAAAAACGAAAGCCTCCAGAGTCAGCAAGCATGTTTTGGTAGCTTACCAGGACATGACCAGTGGGTACAGAGCTCAAGCCCCAGGCTCCTTCCCTCCTCTGTGGTCAACCCTGAAGCCTGGTCTTCATGGAGCCCTGGAACTGGGATGCAATTGTCCATTCTGGGGTATCTCCCATATGCAGCTGTTCTTACCTTCCCTTTTGACTTCCCAACAGGGAACCCCAACATTCCAAAACCTCGGCGAATCCTGCGCTCCGCCTGGGGTAGCAACCCTTATTTCCGAGGTTCTTATTCATACACACAGGTGGGCTCAAGTGGGGCAGATGTGGAGAAGCTGGCCAAGCCGCTGCCCTACACGGAGAGCTCCAAGATGGCGGTGAGTGGGGCGGCGGGGTGCCTTGAGGATGGGCTTGGGGGTGCAGGTGGGAGTTGTGTGGATCTGGTCCAGAAGTAGGGTAGGTAGTAGCACTAGGAGGTGCTCACTAAAGGGAGGCAGTGATGGAGTAGCTGCTCATGAAAGAGAGAACGAGATAGAGGGTGAATGCTTCACATCTGGAAGAAGAAATCGAACCAAATCAACGCTTTAGATGCTTTTCTGAAGTTATGAAAACTGTGGCCAGTGTGGTAGCCATTAGCCTCATTACTTTAATTAGAATTTAATGGAACTAAACATGAGTACCATGGAGGCCGCAGCTACATTTTCAGTTCAGGAGCCACGTGTGCCTAGTGGCTGCTATATTGGGTTATGAAGCCACAGAATATTTCCAGGGTCATAGAAAGTTCTATTGGACAGCACTCATTCAGTGGAAATGTTTTCCTAATATCTTTTAGAAAATAAAATTAGGAAGACTGCCCTACCTCAAATTATGTCAACTCTACACTAAAAAATCGTCAGTTGGAAAGAAGTGTATATTTTTGCTCCAATAAAGTAGATTTTGAGTTTTTTTTCCCACCAAGCGTACACATAAAATAAATGTCAAAACTCCAACAGTTGTATTTAGAATAATTCTTGATTAACTGGTGATGCAGATTTTGTTACCCAAGGTGCACTGTGTCTGCTGACTGTGCTTAGAGGGAGAAGGGAAGAGAGCCTCAAAGAGGCCCTTGCTGCTGCCACCATGGCTTGCATAAAAAGCAAAGCTCCTCTCACCTGCCGTAGACCTAGTGTGTTAAAGAAAAGCAAGGCAAAAAGAGAATACCTGTGACTTAAGCAGACAGAGACTTACTTCTGGCAAAAGGAAATCTGGAGGAAAGAATCAGGACCTGGCATCTTTCTCCAGGAAAGATCTTTCTCCTTAGCACCTGGCTTCTTTCTCCAGGGCCACCTCATGGTCCAAGAGGGCTGCAGAGGTGCTGCCTCTTCCATCTGCATCTTAGGCTGCAGGGAGGAGGAGCACTGGCTGTGTGCAAAGGAGGTCTCCTGCAGTGGAACTTAATGACATGACTGAGAAGCTGGGCCTTGACCTGTTAGTTGGGATGGCATGGGACCCAGTTGGAAACCAAAGTGTTCTTACTGAGAAAGAAGAGACTTGTGGACCTGGGCACAGGCAGCTGGCACTGTGCTACTCTGTACCGTGTCCCACTCAAGCACCCCTGTGGCTTCCTTGTGGGAGGGATTCAGCCCGCCTGCAGTCCTGCTGGGTTAAACCCTCTGCCTTCCTTCAGGATTCACTCACAGCGAGGCCTTGGCACAGGCCTCAGCTCGACAGCCTGGTCTCTCGAGGCTGAGCCTGACTGCACCAAGAGTTTCACTGCTGCCCCTGTGATGCATTTCTGCCCCCAGTCTTCCCTCAGCCCAGTGTCCTTTGCCCACTTTACCCAGAATCCTCTGCAAAGCAGTCCAGCGTTCATGTCCTCTGGGAAGCTTTGTGGGGTCCTCAAGCCCTGGGCTTTTAGCACCTCATCCACGCACCCATCACGTCCTGTATGACGCTGTTTAGTAATTGGGTTTCGTGTCTGGCTTCCCCACCAGCATAGAAGCACCACAAAGCAGCAGCCTGGTCACCTTTTATCATCCAAGTGCCCAGAACAGTCCCTGGACCTTAATAGGGGCTCCATAAAGGTTTGTTAAATTACCACCTAACTTTACTGAGTGGGTATGTTCTTCCAGGTGCTTAGATACATGGTTTCACATAATCTCTACAACCACCCACAGAGGTAGGCAGAATCAACCGATTAGGCAGGTGAGAAAATCTAAGGCTTAGGGAGGGTAATCCACTTGCCCCAGGTTCACCATCAAGAGGCACACATAGCCACTGAGACTGCAGAGCCAGGACAGGAAGGCCTGAGGCCTGAATGTTTGGGGAAAGAACAGGGGAAGTAGCCAGGGGGGTGGCAGCTCCTCAGTGCGCGTGGAAGCAGCAACGCCTGCATGCAGCTGCAGCCGGCTCTGCTCTGATTGCAGTAGGAATGGGGTTCCGGGCAGACAGGGAGCCCTTGAGCTCTGCTGCTCTGCACCCTCACCTCCTCTTCCCACCTACTCAGCCCATGCAGGTGCTGTTCTCGGGCGAGGCCACCCACCGCAAGTACTACTCCACCACCCACGGTGCTCTGCTGTCTGGCCAGCGCGAGGCTGCGCGTCTCATTGAGATGTACCGAGACCTCTTCCAGCAGGGGCCCTGAGGGCTGTGCGTCCCTTCCAGAGCCACTAACTCAGGATGCTGGCCCCTGCCCTTGCCCTTGTGTGCTCCTAGCTTCCTAATCTTCTGTAGCGTGGATTTCGACCTTTCATAGAGCTAGATACCTAGCTGGCTTCAGCCCTGGTCCTGTAGCTTTTTCTTCCCCTCCAGACCAGGTGGCAACCAGACAGGGCAGTGGATTTACCTCTGTGCCAGGACACTGACCTCCTATTCCTGTCCTCCTGCCACCCCCACCCCTGTTACTGCAAGTGCCTTCAATACTTTGCATTTTGGGATAATAAAAGAGGTGACCCTTTCTGAGCTCCTTGCCTTGCTTCTAGGTTTTCCTTGGCCTCTGTGTGTTTTAATCACTCCAGGGTGGAAGATGTGGAGGGAGCCATGGCCCAGCTGTGCCCCCAGAAGGGAAGGTGGCTGTGTGTACTGGAGTTCCCCCTCCACATTTGTGGCTGTTGAGACACATCTTAAAAGTAATTAGAGGGAGTGGAGGGTAGAACACTTGCCCATGATCCAGAGCATGGGCCTCACCCTGCCCAGGCCCACTCCTTCTGGACAGCCAGGTCTGCTGCAGGTGCTTTGCCTGATCTCATGAGCTAGGTTAAGGAAAAGCTGTTTGGGGTGAAGGTGAGCTCTTAGAAGTCTCCCTTGTAGCGGTTCCATGCATGAGGGCCTCATTATTTGCCTGCCCTTGGCCTTGGGGTGGTGGACCTGGCCTTGTGGGGGGGCTGCTTTGCACGATGGAGATGTGACACAGATGCGCCTCTCGCCCTCCCAGTTCCTGGGTTTCCCCACCGGGCAGTGGGATGGACAAAAGCAGCCCTGTGACCTAAATCTGGGGGAAGGAGGTAACACGCAGGTTCTTAGGGCTATAGGTGGAGGAGTTGTGAAAAGCTCCAGTGGGGAAAGGGTTGGGGATGCTTTCTGGGGGACTGCACACTGGGGGGCTCTGGGTGTGGGGAAGAGGGAGAGAGAGCGTTCGTGCTGGCTGCAGGCGAACAGCAAACATATGGAGGCTGGATTTGGTGTGGACACCAGTGCCACCAAGGAGGGCGGTGAGCCCCAAATAACGGAAGCCTCAGAAGCCTTCATCAACGTGCAGCGTGGCTAAGGTAGGTGTCTCCCTGAGCCCCGCGCCGAGATCTGCCTGACACGTCGATGCTCGCTCATTCTTTTGAGTTGTACGTGGTGAAAAAAGAGACTGGCAGCACCAAAACCATACAAGGCCATTGGCAGAGAAAGTGGGCGTGGGCAGAGCCACAGGAGAGGCTGGGTAGTGAATTTTGAGGCCGGCTGTATGCCTGCCAGCACTGCCACTCCTGGTTTCCGTCCAAGAGGACTCTGAATGCAGATGCTCACCCAACTGTGTTCCAAAATGTTCACAGCCCTGGAGTTCCTAATAGCTGGAAATTGGAAATGGCGCCCAGAAAGCCATAGTCAGAAAAATGGGTGAACTATGCTGCTGCCAGCCAGTGGAATACTACACAGCAAAAGAATAAAGGCCATGGCTTATTGGCAGCCCATGCACTAATGTGGAAACGCTGACTGAAGAAGCCAGATGCAGGGTATGTCCTGGACAATTTTTACATAAAGCTCAAGACCTGTAAAACTCAGTTACAGTGTTAGCAGTGAACAGATGAGGGATAATTAAAGAGAGTTAATGTACATTGGTAGGAATGCATCCAGTCATGTGCTCAAGGTTTACGTGCTTCTCTGCACGTGTAACTCAGTTCACATCTCCAGCATCTGCAGACACTGTCCCCACCCTCCCAACCTGAAGTGTGGTTGTGTTGGCTCAGATGGCTTCCTCCTTACAGCAGCAGCAACACAGCTTGAGAGCGGATGAGGGCGGCAGGGGCCTGCTCGCCCTCCTTGGTCACCTACTGTGAAGGGCTGGCCTTGATTTCACTGTTTTATAGAATGTCACTCTTTGTCAGATCCCTCTCCTGTGTCCCTCATCCTCTCTAGTTGTAGGTGTTCAGGGAGGTGAGGAGTGGTTCATGACAGAGGAAACCCGAAAGGACCTATGTGGGACTGTGCAAGGGCCCGCAGGTTAGAGAGGCTGCGTTGAGCAGCCCTAGGAGGAGGACAGGGGAGCCGTTGGGACTCACAGGCAAGGACAAGTACTGGGGTGCCAGTGTTGGTGGCCCTGGAGAGTTTGTGAGAGCAGCCAGCCTCCAGCATGCTGCCCCCACAAGTAGTTGTGTACTGTGGGTAGCATTTTGCTCAAAAAGCAGAGACGGGGCAGATGAACACGGAAGAGAAGGACCCCTTCAGAAGGTTCCAAGGTGCACCAGGAGAACAGGGTGCTACCACAGGGTAACTAAGTTTCCCAGGCAGACCCTTCTCAGAATGGGCAGCCCCCCTGGTTGAAGCCTGAGGAGCTCTTTGTAAATGTGGGCTGCTTGGGCCAGCACCCACACAAACATTGTCCTACAGTTCCCCTTGGCAGGTGGAGTTCACTTGGAGAAGAGTTCCTCGCTGCGTGGGATTCTGTGTGGGACTGGCTACATGGTTTTCTGTGTTGGGGCTGTCTGGGAACTGAGGTCAAAGTGTTCAGATGTGGCTTTGTGGAAGTCTCAGCAATGATGCCACAGGGGGCCTGGTCCTTCACGGACACTGTCTCTCTCTGCCCTTGCCATTTGGTGGCAGGGGAATAGTGTGTGATCCCTCTGCAGCACGGGAGCTGCCCAGAGCCTCCTTCCACCACAACAGGAGGAGCAGAGCACCTCTGCTCTGAGCCACTGACTTGCCTTTTTGTTGCTAGGGCAAAATACCTGAGACAATGAACTTCAAAGGAAGAAAGGCTTATTTTGGCTTAGGGTTCTAGGCATTTCAGTCCGTGGTTGCTTGGCTCTGATGCTTTTGGCTTGGGGTGGCATAGAATACCACGGAAGGGGTGTGTGATGGAGGAGGTTGGTTTAACCTCATAGTGGCTGGTAAGCAGAGGGAGACAAGAAGGGGCTGGAGTCCCAGTATCCCCCTCCAGGGCTCACCCCCACTGACCCATCTTCTTCCACTAGGCCCCACCTCCTAAAGCTTGCTCAGTCTCCCTACAGTGCCACACATGGGAGTTAAGCTTTACAAGTGGGCCTTTGGGGTTCTTCCAGAGCCAAACCATACAGTCACCCTGCATTTACGTGGGCCTGTTAGGATATGCCTCAAGGGTGACCCCGAGATGCAGAGTGAGGTAGGCTTCTAGCTCAGCTGTTGAAAATTACTTGTCTAATTAATGGTCTACCCAAGTTAATGGTAGTTATGAGGTGCTGGGTTTTCTTATAATGACTGGCTGGGTCTGTCTGTCTGTCTTTCTTCTTTCTTTCTTCTTTTCTTCATCTCTTTGAGACAGACAGGGTCTTCATATGCATTTAGTTCAGTCTTGAACTCACTGTGTAGCCCAGGCTGTCCTCAAACTTGTGGCAGTACTCCTGCCTGAGCCTCCCAAGTGCTGGGATTATAGGTGTGCACCACCACACCCAGCTAGGCTGTTTTCTTGAGGCTGCTGCTGAGTTGTGTGGCGCAGTCCAGCCATGGCTTGAACTCGCAGTTTGGATTAAGTTGTTCTTGTGATCAGTCCTGATTAATTAAATTGGTTCCGGATTGGGCTGTTACACTTGGCTTATCATTTCACTTGGTCTCTTTCCTATGCCTGCGCCTCTCCTACCCCTGGTTCCCTTAATGCCAACCACCATAATCCCAATCATAGATCAAGCAGAGCTATGTCTGGGCCACCACCAGGTGCTCTGGAGAAAAACACGCAGGCACATCTGCTGGCAAAAATAAAGAAAGTGAATAGAGGGATTTGTTCTAATAATAGAGGGATTTGTTCTAATGGTGTTTGTAAATAGGATATCATGTCGGCATCTTGTACCGCAATTGACCACTAGGAAGAATGTATGCAATGTGTTAATTATTGATACTGTCCTACCAATTTGGTTTGAAACTGTCTCATTGCTATTTGTTTCTCAAAATTATGGAAAAGTAAAGAAAGTGAAGCAACTGCACAGCAGGATGCTGCCTGCAGGATCTTGCTGTGGATGGAGCGTCTCTGAGGCAAGGCTTTCTGTTCTGCTTCTTCCTGGATCGAATCCATATCCCAGATCTTCTCCACTGAAGTGAAGTGGGGCCACCCCTGGGCTTGGGGCAGCACC